TCATTTAGACCTCTAAACTTAACAATTCTTTTTTATGTCAACTTAAAAATGAGCATCCAGCTGGCATTCAGTCATATTGTATGCATCACAGGATTTAATTTTGCATCGTGATTCTCTTCTCTGGTTCACTTCACTTAGTTTTCACTCATAACTTGTAAACAACCATTTTGTACATCTTTTTTTTGTCATTTTGGCAAATTTGATTGACTTTAATTGTCTCTTTCATCTACTTTGATTTCAGTTCCTCCACAGATCCTGCCATCATCTGATTGCACCAAAACTGCAGGCCAGATCAACTGTTCCTGTGAGACTGTGGGAAATCCTTTCCCCACTTTACACTGGTATTTGGATGGTCTACCTGTCAATCAGTCCGACAAGTTTGTGATCATCAGTGAGCGTCTAAATAATGACAAAGGTCTGAGGAGCTTCATCACTGGGGATCAACCTCAAGAGATACATCGTTCAACCTTGACCTGCCTCAGCTTCAACTCTCTTGGATCTGCCAGTCAACATTTCAGCCTTGAGCATCAAGCATGTGCTGAAAGTCACGGTCTGTTTTATATGTACTTCTTGTAATAGTTAGCTGGAAGCTGTCAGTTACCTCACAATCACTTTTGTGATTCCTTGCAATAGATTAAACTTCCCCTCTGATGAATGTGAACAGTTGGTGTGTTGGTTCAGGCCAGTTGTAATACACTTCCAGTTCAGTAAACAGGTCTGTAGCTCCTTACAGAAAGTAGAGGTATAGTGAGACTTTACATGATGCCTTTACTGCTTGTTAGTCATTTTAGAAGGTTGAACCAGCAGCGGTCTCGTGTCATTGCTCAGCCTTTCTGTGGATCAGAGGAACTGGCCTATGTTATGTGTTACAAGCCACAGTGTATTCAGCTAAGACAAACTGTCTGCTCAGAAAGTGGATGGTGCAAGTCCATAAAGATCCACTGTGACTCTCGGATGTGTTGAAACACTCCACTTCCTGCCGTCTATTGTATTGTCACTAAAGTAAGTCACTGCTAATTTTCTTTCGACATACTGTTGTCTATAAGGCTTGCTATACACTGGTCAACCACTACATAAAAAACACTGACAGGTTAAGTAAATATCATTGGCCATACTATTAAAATGGAGTCTTACAGGCTTATAGTCGGCTGGATGTGATTAGTTAGTTCTAGAAGTGTTGGAAGCAGGAAAAATGAGCAATCGAGAAGACCTGAGTGTCTTAAACAAGGGCCAAATTGTGACTGCTAGACAGAACATCTTGTGGGGTGTTCCCAGTACACAGTGGTTACTAACTAACAAAAGTGGTACAAAGCAGGACCATGAGAGAACCAACGACACGGTCATGGGCACCCAAGACTCAGAGTTGTAAAGGGTTGCCTGTGTGGTCCAGTTCCACAGAAGAGCCTCTATAGCACAAATTGTTAAAAACCTTAATCCTGGCTGTGACTGATGGGTCAGAACACAGTGCATTGCATATATATATATATATATCCCTAGCCCCAGACAAGTCAGAGTACTCATGCTGACCCATGTCCACGTGATCAGAATCTACAAACAATCCATAGTGGCCAATGTTCTGCTGGGAAACCTTGGATCCTGGCATTCGTATGGATGTTACTTTGGTACTTACCACCTAGCTAAACATTATTGCTGACCATGTACATCCACTCATGACAATGCTTTTCCTTAATGGCAGTGGCCTCTTTCAGCAGGAAAACGCACCCTGCTATACTACAAAAACTGTTCAGGAATGGTTTGAGAGTTTATGGAATTGACTGGGCCTCAAAATAGAGAATCTGTGCTTGACAAACAAGTCCAATCCATGGAGGCCCCACCTCACAGCTGACAGGACTTTAAGAATCTACTGCCAACGTCTTGGTGTCTCATACCACAGGACGCCTTCAAAGGTCTTGTTGAGTCTATGTCTAGATGGTTCAGAGCTGTTCTGGTGGCCCACGTGGAAACTACAAAATATTACACACAAGGTTTTAATGTTTCAGCAGATATATTTGAAGAGCTACAAACAACCCATAATGCAACACTCTGCAGAACACCATAGTCACAAACCTATTATACCATCTTATATGCACACCAATTGAACACTGCTGTGTAAAAATAGTGTACTGGAGACCTTTCTTACTAATAAATAAAAAGAAACAAGAACAATGCCACTTACTCACATATACCGTCGTCTTGATAAAAGATAAAGGCATTTATAGGTCGTGATAACAAAAAGACAAGAAGTCATTATATATTTAATGGGATTTATGCAGCCTATCCATACTTTTATCAGAATTGTTTGTCTGATTTTTAACTTTTTGTTAATCATCAATGTTGTGTTTCAGATCCAGTGCTGTTCCTAATGTTCTCTACCAAAACTGCCATGTTGATCGCACTATTGTGTGCTCTGCTGTGTGTTATCAAGTAAGTCAACAGCTGTGGAGACACTAAAATGAAGACAACCCCTGTTTTTTTTAAACCATATATGAAGCAGGTTTTTGGCCAAAGGCAACAAGGTAACTGAATGAAAGCGCAACTCAAGTTTTCCCCTTTTATTAGAATGATCAGTCACCTGATTCATCAATTAAGGCAAAACAGTTGAACTCAGCTATACACGCACACAATTAGATTAGCCAGAGCAGCGGCAGGAAGTAGCCACCATAATACCTGTCGCAATTGCAGACACCAGGTAACAGGAAGTGAGACGCACACTCATTTTCAGAAAGTGAAAGGACAGCTATCCTCACTTTATAGTATGCTGACTTAATTAGGAAGGCAGAATAGAAGCCGATTAACACCAGACAGGACTACTCATTCTACTACACACTGACTTATTTGAAGGTTTGTACTTTTATTTAAATGGCTTTACCTTGCAGAAACCTGTTTGAACTTTAACATGAAATAATCTTTTTTATTCTTTTTTTTTTTCATTGCCAAAAACCCAAATAACATTGACCTTGATGCAAAGTTCAAAAGCAATAAAAGGGGAGACAGAGGTGAATTCTTTTTTCAGGCATTGTAATATGTCTATTAGGCTTTTGAAAAGTATTTTCTGTTAAGACATTCAATGATTTGGGGGAATTCACTTTCATCAGTCTACATGCATATTGTGCACACATGCCTCAGCTCCTGGAGAGCTCTATGGTGTGTTTTATTTCACTTGCTGCATATCTTTTATGAGCCGACAATCACCCTAATATAGACCCACTTTTGTAGAAGTGCTTGACCTTTCCAATGACTAATGACTACAATTCTTGGCCTCTCTGTGGTTTCATCCTGTGGACAAACAAATAAACAGTGAGAAAAATGAATGCAAATCATATCAATCTATTTATGTTGCATGTTCTACTGTGTTTTTCAGGGCTCTGAAGAATCACCATGACCCCAAAAGTCACCTCACAGGTGAAATCAGCCGAGCTGCTACGAGCCAACATCTAATCAGAGAGGCAGATGAGGTACTTTGATTTAGAGTTTTATCATTATACAGGGATGAGTACATTATCTGTTCCACTGATGTTTTCTCTTTAATCGTAGCTACCCGACACAGCAGAAGAGGACGCTTATGTCAACATCGAAGGGTTATCAGTCGTTGCCGCCCCTCTGTCTGAAGAAGAATGAAGTGGAGAGTGACGTAATGCCAGGTAATTTACTCTACTGTGTCTTGGAAGTGCAAGACCAGGAAGGGAAAAGACTGGTGGTTCCTATCTGGAGGAGGAGAAGTGGATGGTGGAGGGGCATTCGTTGATATTTCATGAGCAATGCACTGGAGATGGGAAACCTGTATGATGAAGTGGAGCTTAGAAATATGAGGAAGGAAGCAGAGTGTGAATATGTTCAGGTTTAGTTTGAAGACAAAAGTGCAAAGAAACTATAGATGATGTTTTCCACTGTTGGGAATAACTGCTCTGCTGCATGCATGCTATCTTTTTGCAACTAATCAAACAGCATTAAAATGTACAGAATTGTATGCAGTTGTAGGGAAGTAGCTGCAGTAGCACAAATATTATGTCAATGACGTTGTCTTACATGACAATCTGACTGATATCATGTTCATAAAACCAAAAGTTTTCTCTCCAAATGTATATTGGATCCAAGTATTGGCTGCTAGTCGCCTTACAAATAATTAGTTTCAGCCCTGAAAGAAACGTATCAGCTGATCCCTAATCTTTAAAGATTTTCACTGATTTGGATTTGAGAGAGAAGAATTTTGTCCAGTTGTAAATACACAATGGTTGTAATATCAATGAACAATTTTCACAATTTTAATGTAAAATATGAAATGCTGTATATTTCCCTTTTTTTCTTTCTGTCTTTTTTTAATTTAAATGCTGATGATCATATGTAAATTGAGAAAACCCATGCTGTTTTATCTTTATTTGCTAGTGTAGCCTATGCCGTTTAATGCGTTAGTTTTAATGGGAACTGAAGTGGTTGTAGTTACTCTAAGGAAGAGAGTCAAGGTGATACAGAATCTATCTTTTTTCACTCCAAAGTACAGTGTCTAGAGTTTTTCCTTATGTCTTGAGTTGCAGTTTATTTTTTCAGAATTTTTTAAAGCAGACATTGGTGCATGCACTTCATGCTTGCACTGATATAATCATTTAGGGTTTTATAAATATGAGATGTAGATGTCTGAAATATGAAAAAAGGTTAAGGTGGTTATCAAACAGGTAACGTGAGAAATGGCCTTAAGCTGATGATGTATTTGTTCGTCCTATGTATCTGTCTATATAATAAATAAACATGCATATCAGCTGAAGTTTTTTCATTTTTCCTTTCTTTCTTTCTTTTTTTGCAAAATGTTTGGTAAGCTTAAAAAGTCATCACTTTTGTGAACAGATGTAAACCTGAACAAGAAGCAAAGGGTGGCTGAAATGTTGCCATGGATACAGTGAATTGTACTTCAGGCAGTAACATGAGACCTTTTTTTAAGCAAATATTTGCCTACATTTTGGAAAATTAAGTAAACTGAATTATCTTACCAGCTTCTTTTTATTATGAGTGTACTCAAGCGCAGACACGAATCACAGAATCAGTGAAAACAGTGTTTATTTACTGAAGTAATCAACATGGTGAACCAGAAGTGCAGGTATCACACAAATAACCCAGGGGCCTCAGCGAGGGGAAGGGACTAAGAAAACAAACTAAACGAATGGCTAGATCAGCTAGAGAGGTTAAACACCAAAAAACAACTAAACTCACAAGAGGCAAAGGACTCACGGTAAACACATGGAGCCAAGACGTTGTTAAAGCTTTGGGCTTTTTGCCAGTAACAAGATTCTGAACCACGAGAGCTTGTATTTCTGGTGGCTGAGCCAAGTAAAGTTTTGGGGGAACTTCTATACAGAAATGCTCAACATGAGCAGGTCTACTTTTGCTGTGGATATTATTTTAACTCTCTGAACAAACAATCATTTTGAAGTGCAGTTTGGTTTTGAGACAAGTATAAGTTTGGTGTGTTAAAGCCATATAATGTAGGGACTATGCCCCTGGTGCAACTTCAATCTGCACCTGAGAAACAACAGCAGTCAGAACAATGTACAGTAAAGCTCCAAATGGTGCTTATTATAGTAATACACTGACTCATCACCATCTTCTTGCACTAGAACGAATACTTGCAGTAAATGGGTCCTAAATCCAACAAACATGCCACCATTGGGTTTTTCCTCTCCAGTGTGTGAATTGGTGTGAATACATCTACCATATAATGTACGGACTACGCCCCCTGGTGTTTTACACACAGAAATATATTTCTTTACCAGTGGATTCACTGCAGCCATAACAGACTTCATCAGTTTATTTCTGATAACATC